GGGGTAGACATGGGTGGACAGGGAGGTGGACACAATGTGAGATTCCCAAATAATTAAAAGCAATTAAAAAGAAAAAGAAAAGCATAACCAAGATGTATCTCGGTTGACAAAAGCAGTCCAAAATCACAAAGGCTTGTAACAATCTGTAATTACAGTTCCAGTTGAACTCTCTTCTGACCTCCTCAAGCACCAGGCACACATGTGGTGTACAGAAGACATACATGCAGGCAAAACACACATACACATAAAAATAAATTAAGAAAATAGAATTCTACTAATACCATCTCAAAATTAGATGCCTTAAAAATAATATTTAGAAGCCCAGTTGTCTGTGTTAAATTGAGGGTGAAGATTTTGTACCTAAGGAAAAAAAACAAAGCTATAGTGAGATGAGTAAACAAGTCTAAGACTAAAATCACTGTTGGCTCTTTTAAGTGAGTAAGTGGCTATATATGAGTGAGGGTTCTCCTGTTTCTTTCATGGCAATTCTGTAAAGGCTTCATTCTCACCTCTCTCTCTCTCTCTCTCTCTCTCTCTCTCTCTCTCTCTCTCTCTCTCTCTCTCTCTCTCTCTCTCTCTCTCTCTCTCTCTCTCTTTCTCTCTTTTGGTTTGTCGAGACAGGGTTTCTCTGTAGCTTTGGAGCCTATCCTGGTACTCACTCTGTACACCATGTTGGCCTTGAACTCACAGAGAGCCACCTACCTCTGCCTCCTAAGAGCTAAGATTAAAGATGTGCACCATTCTCACTTATAAACAACAAAATGCACAATAGCTAATATTAAATGAACGATTGCTATCATGCTCATGAGCCAGGGCATGTCAGTGGCTACATTGAAACATACCAGACTGAATTCCTACCAACATATTTCTCTCAGAGACTTACTCAATATTTGAGCAAATCATTTCTTGCCTTCAATTTATTTTTTAACTCGTGATTACATAAAATGTGCTGGATGGAAGCCCATGAAAAGAATATGTTCAAATAAAATAGGAGTAAAAAAAGGCACAGGCCCAAGAAAAAAAAGGAGGTGCTGTTCTGGGACTATTCCTTCTTGATTTAAGATAAGTTTGTGTGTGTGTGGGGGGGGTCACTCAGTAGCAGGGCTCAAGGCTCAGGCTCAGCATGCTTGAGGTCTTAGATCAAGAACAAAATCAAACAGCCACCAAACATACACACACCAACCAAAAGACAGAAACATGAGCTAGTTTTAAATTTGATCAGTGCTTTGGTTCAGAAGCAACAGGGCATCTCTATTTCAATTGTAGGATGAATTTTAAACTATTTTTATTTAAGATTAAGCATCCTCACTGACAATCCAGAATCAGTCTGTGCTGACAATTAAGCAATTCCTTAATTTTCAGTGTTAAAGTAGAAAACATGTGTTCACAAGACGCAGGTCAATTACTGTCATTTTCAAAATATCACCAAGAGGCTACCAAGCCACTTATCAAATCATGAGGAAGACAGTTTTCCAAAAAGCCAGTAAAACCCAGAAATAAAATCCAACTATCAAGCTATAAATACCACTCCAAACACTGGCATCTAAGGGGGGGAGCCAAATTCCTATTGGTGACTAGAGGACCCATGTGTTCACAAGGTTGGGGCCAGAACCATGGTGGCTCTTTCCTACTCCAGCAGAGGAAACAACACACTGCTGAAATCAAGACTAAAACTGCCCTTGCCAACAGAAGGCAGGGGAGCAAAGGAGAGAGTGGAGAACAAAATGTGGCAGAGACAGCTCTGAGCCTTCTGTCCAGGCGAGCAGAAGGAGGAGCTCTGAACCAGAATCATTCAAGCCCACAGTTGGCTCTAAACTAGTGGATTCAATACACCATTCATAAATACCAAGTGACCCACAGGGCTTGTGTGCTAACAGTATCTTTAAATTTATTGTAAATTTCTATTCTGGAAAGTGGTAAATCAGAATGACACTGGGACATCTGGTCAGTTACAGAGTAGAAGGCTCCCTTCAAAGGGAACTGAAGAAAGAGTTTGCAGTATACAGCAAATGGGTCAGGCTCTCAGTGCAGTGTCAATAGGGCTGTGACTGTCCCTAGCTGCAAGGTATAGTACTGAGAGGGCTCCAACAATGTCAGGCTTCTTGGACATAGTCTGAAAGTTTAACTCTTGACCCTCTCCCTAACCTAAAGCTTGGGGAAGAAAATAAATATTTACTTTATAACTATCCACAGTTTGGGCATATTATAATATTTAATCTATAGTTTTCATTTCTGAACCTTTGGTATATAATTGTTCGGAATTATGTTACATGGAAAAAAATCTATGTGCCTTAATCAGTAGTACCAAAGAAAAATATAAACCCTGTTCTTCCTTCTACACAGGAAGAGTGAATATATGGCACCCTAAACATCTTGCAAGGTTTCTTTGTGTACTTGACGATAGATTAGGGCAAACCATTCCATTTCTATACGGCGAGCAGAAGAAATGAACTAGTCTTCAATTTCATCTTCCCAAACGTCTCCATTAACATCCACAGCATGGAACAGTCTGAAAGCATAAAACAGAGGTACATACTTATTTGAATCTCTTTCCTTCTTTCTAAAACATTCTACCCTTCTGATAACACCTTTGCATAAATTTTCTTCCTTAACCATTTCTTTAAGGAGGGCTGAAATCTAAGTCTTTATAAACAAGCTGCAAGATGTTTGAAAGAATAGTATTGGTCAGCTAGGCATTGTGGTGTTTGTCTTTAGTCCCAGAATTTGGGAGGCAGAGGCAGGAAGATCTCTGTGAGTTCAACTTAGTGATTTCTAGGCCAGCCACGGATGTGTAGAAAGATCTCCATTTAAAACAAAATAAAACCAAAACAAACAAAAACAGAAACAAAAAGTTAAAGCAAAACAAAACAAATCCAGTACTGCATGCCAGGAATCTGTCACTAAACTGTAGCCCATCCCTCTTTTTACTTTATAAAATATGAGGAAATGGGCATTACCAAATGGGAATGTATATGGTCTGTGAAATAAGTCAAGAGTGGGGAGTCATGCAGTTTGGAAGAAACTGAACTCTTTCAGTAAACAAGCCAGACAAGTGCTAATCTTTCCATGCTCTCTGGTTACAGTCTTGCTCCTGCATTGGTGGCATGCTGTGTAGAGGTCCTTTGGTTTCTTTCCCTCTCAAAAGCTAGTGCCATTTCCAACACTAACTTGTAATACTTCACAGAAGGACTAGGTTCTTCAGTTTCTCTGAGTTTTATAACACTGATGAGTGTAGGTTCTCTACAGAAACCAATAGAGAAGAACACTGATAACTTTGGAGAACTGTTGAACAATAATCCACACTGTTTCAAAGAATCACCTTAGATTCTTTTCTAATAACAAAAGGGAAAACATTAAATGATAGCACACTAACAAAGGAACAGTCTGACCATGGTTCTCTCACTGGAGTACCACATGCAGTATATCACATGAAGTATCATTGTCAAAACTGTTACTACTGTTGGGTGGTGGTGCATGCCTTAATCCCAGCACTGGGGAGGCAGAGGCAAGTAGATCTCTGAGTTCAAGGCCAGCCTGATCTACAGAGTGAGTTCCAGGACAGCCAGGGCTACAGAGAGAAACCTTGTCTTGAAAAACAAACAAACAAACAAACAAACAAACAAACAAACACCCAAACAAAACAAAACAAAAAAACAGGATTGAGAATTCAAAGCCAGGGCTACCAATATGGCCCACAGGATTGAAATGCTTGCCCCGAGTTATAGCCACAGGACCCATGGTGGAATGGAATGTGATGGAAAGGAGGTAACAACTGCTAAAAGTTGTCCTGACTTCACACATGCACCATGACACAAATATACCTACGCACTACACACACAAATCATTTAATTTTTAAAGAAATCAATATAGGCCAGCCTATATCACATATGCCCTTTCTTTTAAAATGTGGAGTAAGTGGGGTTGGAGAGACAGCTCAGCTATTAAAAGCATGGCTACTCTTCCAGAGGACCTGGAAGAGTACCTACATGGTGGCATCACAACCATCTGTAAACTCCAGTTCCAGGGGATCCAATATGTTATTCCAGGCTCTGAAGGTATCAGGTGAACATGTGGTGTTCTAACACACATGTAGGCAAAACACCCATAGGTATAATTTTTTTTTTTTTTTAACCCTCTGAGACAGGGCTTCTGTGTGTAGCTCTGACTGTCCTGGAACTCTGTAAACCAGGCTGACCTCAAACTCAGAGACCTGCCTGCCTCTGCTCATAACTGCTGGGATTAAAGGCATTCACCACTACTGCCTGGCTAAGGGTAATTTTAAGGTGAGAATAAAAAGTAAACAGTAGCCAGGTGGTGGCGGCACACACCTTTAATCCCAGCATTTAGGAGGCAGAGACAGATGGATCTCTGAGTTTGAGGTCAGCCTGGTCTTCAGAGTTCCAGGACAGCCAGAGCTACATAGTGAAACCCCGTCTCAAAAACACCAAAAAAACAAAACAAAACAAAAACCCCAAAAAACGAAAAAAAGTAAAAAATAAATGTTTTTCAAGAGGTGTATACTCTGATCATAAACCCATTTCAAGAAGATTTAAAAATCACATGTAGGAAGAGTTCTCCAAGTCCAGCTACTTTAGAAAATAAACTAACCTGCATAATGGTATCAAAACATACTACAGATAGGCTAGAAAGACAGTTGAGAATGCCTGCTATACAACCATGAGGACCAGAATTTGTATTCCAACACTCATGTAACAAATCAGGCATCCTGCAAATATCTGTACTTTTAGCTCCAACTTTGAAAGATTTGATACCCTCTCAGTCCTGTTAACTCGAGTTCACATGCACACACACAACACACACAACACACACACAACACACCACACACACACACACACACACACACACACACACACTCACTCCTGCCTGCACCATACAACTTTTTAACCACTAATCTAGGGAACCCTATGTATACAAACCTGTTAAAGCATGGAGAGTCAGGGTCAGTGAAGTGTTTGTAAGGGTTGGCTCTGGAGAGAGAACCCATGCAGATCCAGCAGAAGTACTGCATACAGCCGGTACAGGTCATCTTGTTACAGCCATCTAACTTCTGGTGGGAGGAGACATGACAGCAAGGTGATGAAGGCAGAAGAGGATGCACAAGCCAAAAATAACATACCATATTCCCCAGTCCATTGTTCTTTTCTCAGGGAGGACTGGTATACAAGCAACAAACACAATGACAATCACTTATGCTTACACATTTGCACTGAAAGTAAAATGCAGACATACTGAGCAGGTGGTCCTACAACTAGATACTTAGCACAATCTCTTCTCATAAATATAGACACAAGGCTGGGTGGTGGTGGTGCACGCCTTTAATCCCAGCACTTGAGAGGCAGAGGCAGGTGAATTTCTATGAATTCAAGGCCACCCTGGTCTACAGAGCTAGTTCCAGGAGAGCTACGACTGTTACACAGATAAACCTGTCTCAAAAAAACCAAAGAATAAAATAAAATAAATATAGACACAAATGAGAGGAACACGTAACTAGGTAAATATTAAAATGTTACTTTATTCTCAGTCCTAGAAATAGAATCTAGGTTATTTAACATGCTAGGTACCCACTCTACCATACACTATATCCCTATCCCTGTCTACTTCTTACTTTTCAGACAAGGTTTAAGTTCACCTTGGCCCTGACAATCCTTCTGCTTCGGCTTCTCAAATGGCTGGGATTACAGGCTAAGCCAACCAGGCTGGGATTAAATTTTAAATTTCTGTACAAATCAAAATTAATAAATGGAATCATATCTAATCTGTACCATAAGGCTCAGGAATGGTAGAAGTTGTCAAATATGATGCTACTTTCCTTAATGATGTAACTAAGGAATTATCAATTTCAGTTACAACATACAAGACTGAAAAAAATAAAATCAAATGGAAGGCAATTTTTGATTTTAAAACCCATTAAGATTTTGGTGAGAAGTAGTCATCAATCTCATTTTAGGGGAAGGGCGTTTAGGTTATCGTCTCCACCATTGCCTGGATTGTCAGTTCTTGTCATCCTTGTAGATCTCTGGAAGTCAGTCTCACTAGTGCCAGATCTCTCCTTGGACCTATAATGGCTCCCTGTAATATGGTATCACTCATCCTGCTCTCCACTATTCTTCCCCCAACTCAATATTTCTGCTCCTCCATTTCCTCCTCTCCTCTCCTCTTCTCCTGCTCTCTTTCTGGCAGCTCCCCCTCCCCTACCCTCATGCTCCCAATTAGCTCAGGAGTTCCTGCCCCTTCCTATTCCTGGGGTCCATGCATTTATCCCCTAGAGTACTTCATGTTTCCTAATTTCTTTGGTGAAGAGGATTATAGGCTGGTAATCCTTTGCTCTATATCTAAAATTCATAAATGAGTGAGTACATACCATGTTTGTCTTTTTGTGACTGGGTTACCGCACTCAGGATGGTTTCTTCTAGTTCCATCCATTTGCCTGCGAACTTCAAGATTTCGTGATACACTGAACTGAACTCTGGAACTTAGTTGCAGAGAGGGAGGAATGAAGATCGAAGGGGTTGGTAGCAGGTTGGAGAAACCCACAAACAGCTGGCCTGAACAAGGGGGAACACATCGACCCCAGATGCTGTCT